CCCCAAAACCCCAAAACCCCAAAACCCCAAAACCCCAAAGCAGTTTTCTTAAGTTGAAAGTAACTTAAATAAAAGTAAAAGAACAATTTTAAGTACTATAAAATTTGTAGAAATGATGAATTCACAAATCGTACCTTCTAGAATGTAAGGAATTAAGAATGGTTATAATGTTATACAGATATGGAATCTAGACCAAACTAACTTCTTACCAATTGCTAAGCTCACCTCAGAAGACATTTGAGCTTTAAACATTCGTAAATTTTTAGTTGAAGTTAGTTGAATTTGCTGATACGTTATCAACATTCTGTCTCTGTTAGAAAGTGTTATTATAATAGAAACAAAATTGTATTGTTAAAGTCTACTCCTTCAAAGCAAACATTTCTTATTTATCGTTTTATTTTTTGAATTTTGGTAATATCAAAGGAATTGGGATAAGGAAGTTTCACACTAAGGTTAAAAATAAAGTAAGTTTAATCTATCTGCAGTTCTAATTGATAGCCTATAAAAGCTAATTCCATTAAATAAACATTGGAGAAATAAACTTAAACTGATATGAACCAAAAGCACCTCCTATGTAATAAATAAAAAATAATCAATTGTTTAAGACCATTGAACCAGCCCAAAACTACTGAAGTAAAGCAATAGTATCGGAAACTTGTTGGAAAGATATTACAGGGTTTAATGATTTTAGCTAAAGAATAGATACTAAAACTACTAGTTAAATTTCCTAACTTATGCATTTTAGAACAAGAATTGAATTAGACTACTGTCTTCTAAACCAGTGCTGGTTAAACCAAGGAAGATAGTTACAATTTATAAATGGTTTTAATTCTAAGTTTAGACAAGTGTTAAACAGTCAGGTTTTGATCACCAAGCATATAATAATTCGGGTGAGAAGGCCTCCTCAGCACTGAGTTACCCAAAAGTCCTTTTCTTTTGATCATCTTGGTGATGTAGTAATTAGTTTGACTCCTTTTATCTCCTCCCTCTAGACAGACCGACTGGGTGCGAGATTTTATAGTATTTATCCTTTCTATAAATAGATTCATCGTAAGCCTTGTGCTCTGTAGCAGTTTTAGAAAATTGAGTTGGTTATTTTAAGTGAAGGGGATACAACATTTTGTACAACTTCGATCAGTTAAATCATTGGGTGAAAAACTCGTAGGCTTTATTTGATTAAAAACTCATTTTCTTTGAAGGTCATGACTTCATCATAACACCTCCCTACTTTCTTAACTAAGAAAGAAGTGTCTCTGATTCCCATTGAGTGAAGGTCTTTTAGTATGCCTTTTGTCACATTATTTACCAATATCTGACCTATTTAAAGGTTTGATTTCTAAGAATAAAAACCAGATTAATTCCAATCATAAACATAAGGGATGTAAATTATGGGATTACATTTAAATACTAGTATTCGTAGTTATCTTTTATTATACTAAATGGTTCATACTTTAACATGTAAGAATTTGCCTAAAACACTTTAAAACTAAATTTAACTTAAATTGAGTTTGACCAATCCCCAATCAAATCTGAATGGATAATATAAAAGCTTATTATAATTTAGTTTCTGTTATCAAGAAAATAGTTTGTAATAACTAAAATTGTTAAGTGCTTCTTACAGAGCTACAATGATCTGTTCAAGATCTTTATTACAAGCCTTTTGCTCCTTAACGCTTAGCCTCTTGAAATATTGTTGTATCTTATAAATCTTGGGTGAGTCAAACATCAAGACTAAGCTCTGTGCTTTCTCTTCAAAGAGTGCCAAGTTATCATTGAGTAAGGCTATAAATCTTACTTTGTCAGTTTGCAGAATATTTCATTAATTGAATTATGAATGCTAATTAGTGCATTTATATTATGAGGCATTACAGACATTTATATGCCTGTCTAAAACCTGTTTGCTACTTAAACTTTCTTTAAGGTTTTAGAATAGTCTACTTTGGTCCTTAATCGTTTAAGAGCACCTACACTAATTACAAAAAAAGTGAAATCTAATTCTGCAAAAGATCTTGGTCATGAGTAGTTAATTTGACATTTCGAAGAATACTGGAGTAAGGACAAGAATTACTTTGAAATTTTAAAAGACTTGCCTTTATTTGATATTGGTAATTCTGCTCCTTCCCTTTAGTTTTGGATTGGGAGTGCTTGCTAGATTGGCAAAGTTAATAAAACATAAGCAAACTTATTAAATCTGAGATCAGTTAATTTTGCGAGCTTCCAAGCATTTGAGAGAAATCAGAAATGTATTAGTTTCACAAATTTTGGTAGAAGTGTGCTGTTATGGAGGCTTGAGGTTTACCTGACGGTAAGAATATGGGGAAGCCACTCTACTTTTACGGAAGTAACTTACATGTAGTTTCATTAACTTTCGAAATGATATTGGTCATCTCTGTCATTTGTGTTACAATTTTTGATATTTTTCCTTCTACTGGAGTTTTTGCTTTAGAAAGATTTGGGATTGGAGGTTTACCTCTGATTCTAAAAGGGCTTGTTACAGCCTTCTGGGTAGTTTTGTGGAGTTTAATTAGAGATTCTGGCACTTTATCAAGTGAAGACAAACTTTCACTTGAGGATTTCAAATCAAATTTATTTGGTAGAAGTTAAATTGAATAAATTTGAATTCTCAGAAGCCTCTTGTATTGGTCCTGCAGCATGAAACTTGCTCTTATTTTGGAACAGATTTTGACCTGTTGGATAAGCAGAATTATTCCTCTGATGCTTCTATATCTCAGTGAATTCAATTACCACTGTTAGTGGAGAGTTTACACTCAAGTTTGAGGAACTATTTTTAGATGTCATTCTTGATATCCTTCTGTGACTTTTCTAATTATTATTGTTATGGATTACTTTTACAGAGAAACCGTTCCTGATCAAGCCAAATGGCTCAATTTTCTTTGTACTCGAGTGAAGTATCTTTTTCATAGAAGAACTTGACACAATGTTATTTGGTCATGTCAATCTTAGGTTTAGACTTTTTGACTGGAAGAACCATAACAGTCTTGAATACTAGTTCAGGCTTCTTTTCAACCTTCTCTTCTATACTCTGATATTGAGAGTTCTGAAGAGATGCTGTTATGGAATCATTCATTTCCTTCTTCTGTGATTCATCCATTATAGCTTTCTCTTGCTTTATGGTGCTAATGAGAGAAACATTTTTCTCCATTTGCATGCCTATTTTGGAGGTCTCCTCTCTAAGCAAGTTGGTTTTTGAGACTTCTTCAGGAATAATCTAGATAGTATTACTGAGATTTTACCTCCATCAACTTATTTAGGGCCTTTTATTGATTTTCTTTTAGATGCTCTACTATTTCAATTAGCTGATATTGAATCTTCAAAAGGATGACAGATTAGTTGTGAGATGGAAGCGAGGCCTTAATGAGAGCACAAACTATTCTTAAGCTATTTAGAATAATGCCAGAGAAAAGGCGCCTCAATATTGAATAAAAATGAGGCAAACATATTAGTTTTAAATTGATTAAGAGAGCTGCATCTTTGTATCTGAACTAGAATAATTTAATCCGATTGGATATTAATTATACCAAGAGCCCGAATGTGTTTCCTACCCTATTTTCTTTGATTTTCCTTTCCCAGCCTTTGCTTTCTTAAATTTTACGGCAAGAATGGTTTTACGCTTTGAGCCAATCTGAGTGAATTTTGGAAGAAAATTGGTTGTCTTTATGCTCTTACGCCCTCCCCTTGGAATGCTATACGAAGAATGATTAAAATTTTATTAAAGTCTAATTAAAATAAAAAGAGTCTAAGCATTTTGAGAGATATGGTGATTTAATGAGAAACTCCAAGATTATTGATCTTGTCAACAAAGCTCGTAAATTCAAACACCTAAAATTAATACAGAAGGTAAAATCAAAATATATTGACCATGAACTCAAAAACAGGGCAAATCCGAAAGAAACCTATCAGATTTTCTGGTTTTCAAAAATATGAAAACTTACTCTTTTCTAGCCTTTTTCTTTGCTTTAATGATAGCCCAGGGACTTTTGAGCCTTAGTTTTTCCTTACTATTTTTATTTAGAAAGTTTCCTTTTTGATTTCTCTATAAACATAAAGCTAAATTTGACTCTACAACTCAAGAGCAACAATAAATATTTAGGAAGATATTCTAATTCATTTCTTGTTAGGGAAGCAAACCTTAGCAGAATTTTTGACATCAACATTGACACATTGTTGATTAAAGGCTTAGACTCAAGAATAATACTAGAGTGTAAAACTATTGAGATATCTGTAGTTGGCAAGCAATAAATTTCTAAATAATTATTAAAGATCCTCTTTGATGAGGCCTTTTAAAACAGGTTTATTGGATGAAAAAGGATCATCGGTTTTCATTTATCGGTGAGATTCCTTTAAGGGACTATCAAACCCAATATTTAAGCAGTAGGTATTTTTAAGTCTCTCTAAATTATAAGTTTGGCCAATATTTAGTATTGTTTCCAAAATAGCATCAGTTTATGTAATCCTATTTCTCAAAAATAAGAGTAGTATCTAAAATTGAAGTATGCGTTCTATTGTTTAGGAGTATCTATTTTGAATAATGAGCAGTCAGTTTTAGCTATAACTTTAGTATTAAAAATCTTCTTGATGAAAAGTCCCTATAAAATTAAACTACTGATCCTATTTTCCCACATCTGTTAAATTGTTCTCTTTATGGCAGAACATTGCTTAACTGTAATTGACAAACAAATTTTTACAAAAGGAAGTATTAAATACCTTCAGCAGTTGAAACTTCTTCTTTCTCACTTATGGGATATCTACAAAGTTATTGCCAGATTACTCAGCAAATTCAGAACTATTATCCATAGAATCGACCACTATGCTCGGTTTTATTTCTGAGGTTTCTAGATCAAATTAGGCAATCAGAGATGATAAAGTAAAACCATTTAATTGTACCAGAGCCAGTTATCAGCAATGTGGTTAAACCAACTCACAGTTTGGATAGATGTATTTTCCATAGCTTTTGCCTAGGTTTCAGAAAATAATAAGTTTAAACTAAAGGCTATCATATTTCTAGCTTCGAAAAAGACTTTACCTATCTTCTGATCAGTCTCTTGACCAGACTCATCTGAAATATATGAAGAAGTATGTGAACTCAATGTTGAGGGACTTGATATTGACATTTTATTTCAATTATTATTTTATAAATTGGGGTTTTGGGGTTTTGGGGTTTTGGGGTTTTGGGG